TCCGCCTTGACAGGGACTGCACCACACCATGCCGCCGCGGGAAGCCCTAGCTTCACCAGCCGCCACCCTCCAGGGCCGCCGCCCCGGGATCCAGACAGAACCTCGCCGCTGCCACCGGCCAAGTTCCGTCACCGTCGACCGACCACTGCGACCTCCGCCGCCATGCCGCCGACGGATCTGGGCGAGGATAGCCATCCTCCCCGAGGACACACGCCGCAGCCTCTTCTCCGCGTACTCGCATGAGAAGCCACCGTGGCTGCGTCCCCACCCCTCGCCGGATGTCGCGCACATGCCGCCCCGCCGCCGGCGAAGGCCGCCACCACGAGGAGACCCGCACGCAGCCGCCACACAACTCGGCGTCGACCCATCTGCAACCGCGCCATGGGCCTGCCGCCGCGCCGCCAGGATCCGTGCCCCCCGGCGCCTCCGCTTGGACTGGATGCTGCAGCTACCTAGATATGGATACCAATTTGGATAGAGAAGCAAGTTGTTTTCCCCCGAACAACCCTAGTTCGTACTCCCAAAATAGTTGTCATCAAAATGGATAAAAAGGGATGTATCTAGAACTAATATACATCTAGATACGTCCCCTTTTATTCATTTTGATGACAAGTATTTCCAGACGGAGGGAGTACTTGTCTTGTCAGGTCCAATAACACATTTATTTCATGATAGGATGGTCGATCGTCTATATCCGTACCATTTACACCTGAACAAATTGACGGAATAAAATTTAGCTTTGCAATGCACAGCGTTGTTAAGTTACATGTATATATGCAAAAAAGAAATGGAATAATCACAAACTCTGAAGATAGTGTGGGTGTGCCAAGCGACCTTCAAAACTAATGGAGCATTTTACAACTTCGGTTTAGCTCTTTCGTCCAAGGAGTAGCATATATGCTCAAGCGCCGCGACGTGATCCTCGGCGACGGCCATGTGGACGTCGACGCTGCCCTTGGCTGAGCACGATGGCACGAATGTCATGAGCCCCTCGACGGGCAAGTCCGGCATGAGGAACGCGGATGGCGGCCCATTGCCGAGGTCAATCTGGTGGAACCTGAAACCCAGACTGCTGTCCACCTCCAGGTCCGGGCAGAGCATCATGCCGAAGTCTGGCGCCGTCGCCGCGAGCTCCTCCCAGTTCGCGTCCGCCACGCTCCCGAAGTCCACGAACGACTGGATGTAGGCGGCGTCGACGCGCCCGATGGCGTCGCGGATGGCGCCTACCACGCCGCCGTAGGTCCAGCCCAGGACGTCCCGGACTTGGAGCCTCGGGAATGCCCACAGAACCATGTTCCCGAAGAAGTCCGGCGGGACGGCAGGGTTGGCCCTGCCCCGGCAGTCCACGGCCACCCTGACCTGCGTGAACTCGTCGGGCTTCAGGCGGCGCGCCGCCGTGATCTTCTTCCACACGTGCGCGAGAAGGCACTGGAACGTGCTGCATGGGGCGCCGACGCGGGCCTTGAGCTCTGTGACGAACTCGGCCGTGAAACGCAACGTGAGATTCTTGATCTTGCACGTGGGGTAGGAGTTCGACCTGCGACGGCCGTCTTCTTCTCCGCTGAACTCGGTGCACCGGTGGTCGAACGCCGGCGTCGGCACGCTCCGAGGCACGGCAGTCGCCGTGCGGTCGAGGGAAGGCGACGGGGCGGTGAACTCGCTGGCTTGGCGAACTGCGCTGGCCCACGTGGTGAGGAAGTTGCTGAATGAGTGGCCGTCGGCCGCGTGGTGGTGGTGGATGATGCCGATCACGAGGCCGCCGCACTTGTACCGGTTCAGCTTGATCTGCAGCAGCGCCGCCCCGACGTTCTCCTGCTTGTCCCGGACGTGCCAACTGTTAGTTGCCGGTGACCGACGTCGCCGTCCTATTGATGAAGCTAATTACCTTCGGCAGCGGGAGTGCAGGGTACAGGCCGTCGGTGGTGTCGGTAAAGCAGCCGTCGGCGACCACGCTCGCCATATCGACAGGGACCTCGGCGTCCAGGACAAGCACGCCGTCGTTGTTGAGGTGGATGGAGCGCCGGCCTGAGCGGTCGACCGCGAGTCGTCCGGCCAGGTGAGGGTACGGCGCGACAGCCCTGCGCAGGCCCTCCACGAGCGCCTCGTTGGACGGAGTCGGGGCGGGGTACACGAGGATGAGGGAGACAAAGATGTCCATGGCGGCGCGGTCAAAGAGCGTCAGCGGGACCATCTCGCCCGCGAGCGGGTGCGGCGCCGAGTACACCGGCTTCAGCATCTTGCCGCCGGTCGTCTCCATTTGAACCCACGCCATAATAGAGTTGTGGCCTTGCTGAGATATATAGATGGTTCTGCGACTTCCATCTGGAATATCTGACGTGAACACTGCGCCTGACTAGTGCTATTAGCTTACAGATTGATCTCTAGCACGCATCAGTAGGTTGCAACAGGCTTGAAGTTGAGGGACACGATTAGCTGGATGTATGCCATCAAGGACCGGCTGGGCTTCCGCTGAAGCAGCATCAAGAGCGACAGGGATGACCTTTGCCACCAAAAACCGCCCCTTGTCATCTCTGATCACCACCCCCATAGCTCCTGATCCCAAGTTTACATCTCCTGATCCCGAGTTTACATCATATTTGGCAATTAGCATCAACATTGACGGCAACATACCCTTCCGACGCCCTACACAAGGTGCTCGTTTTTTTGTTGTGGTTCTTTCATTGAGACCTTGAAAAAGCTTGATACTACTCCCTCCGGTGAATCTACACTCTAAAATATGTCTATATACTTCCGTACGTGGTAGTCCGTTTGAAATCTCTAAAAGACAAATATTTAGGAACGGAAATATTGAGGAACGGAGGGAGTAGAACCTGAACTGTAGTGCATGGCATGAACTTCTTGCCTTCTCCTCCATCATGTATACCAGGCCGACGTCAGAATTGTCTCTCTGATGGGCATCACTCTCTCATTAATTGGTCCCAAGAAATTTATCATACGTTGGAAGACTTGAAACTTAATTTGATATCAGCTGGATCCGAACCTGAAACATTTGATCTTCCTGAAGTTTGATTCAGGAAGTTAGTGCTGTTTATATTGAATGTGTCATATATTTTTGGAAGATTACATTTATTTATTAATAGAAATACATCTCATGAGATGTCTGCTCATGATCATATGGACAATGCAGTATCTGAAGTTATCATATTGATTTGGTAAATATCAGGTACTTTTACACTTGAACTGTATCTACATATCTTCGTGGAGACCACCTCATACTTAAGGGAAATCACTATCATCTCCCTCAACTATCACAAAAGCATTTCACATGAAAATAAAGTCAGGCCAAGAAACTGTGGCATTACGCCGCTACTAGTCACTTAATCTCTAATATCTAGCTGTCAAATTGTCTAAACAAAAGCTTCATCTAGATTGGCCGAAAACTAGAAGTGCCAAATGGGGTTTTCTGGTCTCTTGATTTGGTTTTAGCAATGTCAACAACTATCATCCAGCCGTTTATTATCTGCACATAGAATTATAGATGTAAGCTTAATAGATAAATCATATTATCATGTAAAGGATATCAGAAAACAGAATTTTGTCAGCTACCTCTCCATTCATTGCTTTCAGAGCTGCACCACCAGCTTCTTCTGTGGTGTATTCTATGAAGGCATACCCTTTTGATCTTCTTGATATCCTGTCCATTATTATCTTGACTGCAATAAAGTAGTTCCGTGATATTCAGTATCCAAAAAATGGGTAATGGCTAGGCGCAAACATTTCTTGCTAGTATCACAAACCTTCAACCAGCTCGCCAAATGGCTCAAAGGCTTCCCTCAGAGTTTTCTCAGATGTATAAAATGAAAGCCCTGTCATACTAGACCAAATTAGTGACACCGAAATCAAAATATAACTGATTTTCTACCACTGTATATACTTATTATGTTTAACTGTTATTTGTGTTACAAACAGGAGCAACAGAAGTTTGTGATCTCAGCGCGTGTCCAAGACTCACTTGTTCCAATCTAGCTTTTCTTTATATTGAATGAAAAGTGGAGCTTAGCACGTTTAAATATCAACACTAAATTCTCAAATAGGGTCGAATTGTCTGATCTACACTACTTATATTTCTACAGTACAGAAAATTGGACATATAATTTACTGATTGATTGAACTTCCCTTTGAAAGAAAAGACACAAAGACTAGTACTTCAGAACAAGGCAGAGGGCATCATCCATGTGTAAGGTTTAAGTGATCAAACAAACAAGCTAAATATATAGATAATATATCAGATGCCCTTTACCTGTAACAAAGAGCCTTTTAGTTTTGACATCAGCCACCTGAGTAGCTTCTGAGGATTTCGAGCTATCGTCACCTGAAACCACAAGAAGTCCTTACAATCTGGCTCTTTTCACCAAGCTTGCTTAGAAGCATGGAAAGAAAAATCAAGTTCTGTAAATGTACTCCAGAGTCCAGACTTACTAGGTATGCTCTTGGTTAGTATAAGATGTAAAAGAATCAAGAGACGTCAAGTTTATATCAGATTAAAACATCAGGCTAATAAATAGCATGAAACAAGAAATGATGTCCTTATAGTTGTAGCATCCCTCGTTTTCAAGTAAAACAACAGAAAACAAAAAGGGACAAGAACGAGCAGGGTAGAAGGATCATGTCCGAGCATGAACCTCAGAAAAGATTTGCTCATGCCTTGGATGGTTTGGACTTTGGAGTTAAGAGTAAACTGACAGCAGTGCACTTTGCTATCAAAGAACTACCAGAGGAATGAGAACAAAAAGAATAAGAATTATAAGTATTTTATATTCAAAGCTTGAATTGCATCAAGGGATTTCTGCTTGGCAATGGAACACAATATTCACACAAATCAATAACATGATGATAGGATTTAAGTACAGGCATAAATAAATGAATGGGAGATCATCAGAAACAGAAGGGATGATTGAACCTCTGTAATCTTTTTTGTCTGATCCAAAATTTGAATCTGGTAAAACAGATATGACTCCAGGAACATCTGTTGCACGAAGCTAGATTGTTGGTATCTTAATAAAGGCAGAATTGCCAATAAATAAAATACTGAAAGATTTATCTACCCAGGAGGATAAAGCACATGATGCTCACCAGCTAGCTCCTTCGCACATTGTTCGTCAATATGACAGCAGAATCCATAATTCTCTTCCCATGAAACGTGATATATGCTAACTTGTGCATCCTTTTCACTAGGAAGTTAAAAATAAACAATTATTTGTATCACTCATAGGCACATATACAGCAAAGTAGTAGGTAGGCGGCCAATGATACTCTACATACTTCCCCAATACTTTCACCAGGATCTGGGTATAGTGGTCTACCATTTGTGCTTTTGTCACAACTTCAACCCCGGGCTTCTCCATTCGGACAAGCCAAAACTCACTTTTCTCGCTAGAAGAGTTGTTACAAGCAGCATCACTGAAGCTTCCAAGGTTAACTGGTGAGAGGCTCGACCTCAGATTATCCTTCTCTGGCACATCACCCTTAACCATCCTAACAGCTAATACCCCAGGCATCTCTGCAAATTTTAAAGATCATAAGATAACATATACAAGTCCAAAGCATGTATACTTCAA